CCTTTTTCCACTAGGTTCGTCCCTAGCAATTAAATGCAATGACACCACAAGTGATGGCGGCAAAGCGATATTATCCATATTTTCTGAACTCAACTGAGAAGTTTTCTTCCAATCCAACAATCTATGAGCTCCTAAAGATATTGTACCAAAGTGAATGTCCATCATGGTACTAAATCTGTGCTGATTGACTCTTTTAGATTCTGCACGACCCTGCAAGATATATAACTGAGACATTTTCTTTCCCTCCAATACAACTTGGGCACCCTTACAAACCTTCAAAAATCCACCTCAACCAAAGAACTCATAACCCTTTAAATCAAGAATAGATAACGAGATGAGATTATTCTTCAAATTCGGAACATGTTGAAACTGGCCAAATGTTCTAATTGTCACATCGAATAGCTTGAATATGATCGTACAAATTCCAGCAACCCGACAAGGTGTGTTGTCTCCTATAACAACGATACATTTGGAAACAGTTTCATATGTAGTAAACAAGTCCTTATTAGGACACATATGAAACACACACACTGAATCCAGAATCCAATCATCCTTTGGTTTAGACTCAATGTCAGAAATAGTCAAGAGATCTCCATCACTTATAATGTTCTCTATGAGGTCGCTTCACCTAAAGTTTCTAATTGCTTCCCATATTGACTTGCAACCAACCTTTTTTAATTCTATAATTTGTAACAATCCTTCTTCAAGTGTCTCTTCTTCTTGCAGAAGTTACAAATCTGATTACTGAACTTAGATTTTGATCTGCCCCTTTTAGAACTACCATGAGGAACAACGTCTTCCCCATTTCTGACATCTAAAACCAGATGCTTCCTCTTCTCTTTTGAAAACAAAGCATCATACACTTCTTCTATGGTGAGAGTATTACGACTATACAAGATCATGTTTTTAAATGAAGAAAACTAAGTAGGCAACGAACACAATAGGATAAGGCCAAATCTTCTTCATCATACTTTACTTCCAAAGTTTTCAAATCAACGACGATCTCTTTAAATACAGTCAGGTGATCTTCTAATGATCTTCCTTCTGCTGTTCGATAAGAGTATAAACACTACTTGAAATGCACTTGCTTGTCAGACTTTTAGTCATGCACAATTGCTTCAACTTCAACTATAAAGCAGATGTTGAACCTTCCTTCAAAACATCCTGAAGAATGGTATTCGATAGATGAAGATGAATGTGAGAAACTGTCTTCTTATCCTTCCATAATTTCTCCTCCGCAGTTAAAGTTGCTAGCATCTTGTCAACTTCCAACAATGCATCATCCAAATCCTGATGTGCGAGTACTGCACGCATCTAGTGCTCTGATCCAAAAGCAGAATGTCATATTTCATGAAAGTCATCACGAACAAAAAACCTCGAGCAAATCAAACCCTGGTGCTCTTGTAGAATTGTTGAACCTAAGCTCTAATACCACTTGTTGTGAAACAAACAAGATACCAGAATTACTTGATACCAATTGTTGGGAATTCAGGATCATGTATCGCTCGATACCACTTGATATGAAATCAACCACCGAATTGAGATGTTGAAGTTTTATGGCATAATAATGAAGTATTTGATGACAAGTAAAAGAATAAAAGAAGACAAGAAAATGTGATATGGGAATTAAGAGATTGTATTGCACCACAAATAATGAAGATGGAGAAATATTACAATAATCCTAAAAGGTAGTAATCTATTTTCTCACATTACAAAATTGTATAGAATAATCTAATATTTATAGGGAACATGTAAAGGACGTCCAAACCCTCGTAATAGAGTTGTTAATGAAATAGGATGCCAAAAGATTGAGTTCAAAATGAAAAATGAGAGAAAAACGTGAAAAATCCGGAACATACATATGGCGCCTAGGAGCCACACCCGGCGTCTAAGTGCCCAAAGGCTAGCGCCTTGTTGTTTTAAAATAGCAACCTAGAGCTTAAGCACCAGGTTTCGGCAAAAAAAACTTTCAATAGTGTTTTTCTCCATTCCGAACTCTTTTTCAAGTCCAATACCAATTTTCAACTCCTAATGGGCTTCCAAAATAGAATTTCAATTTGACATAGGACTCCAATAGCATGCCAATTGATTTCTTCTTCACATGCACTTCGATTAGAATTTTTCAATTACTTCATCAAGGAATTCGAGTCACACTCACACTACACCAAAATAAACCATTTACAACACATAAAAGGCAACATACGGTAGTTAAATGTTGCTAAAGGGGTCAATCGCAACATTTTAATAAGTGAATGTTGCTATTGGGTTAATATAATTGACTTTTGGCAACATTTGATAAGAAAATGTTGCTAATGTCACCTTTCGCAACATTTTGTATANTTTGATAAAGGAATGTTGCTAATGTTACATTTCGCAACATTTGGTGTATGTTGCGAAAAGTTTATCCTTTTGCAACGTTTATTAGACATTGCAAAAGTTTATCCTTTTGCAACGTTTAATAAACGTTGTGAAAGATCAACTTTTTGCAACGTTTATTAAACGTTACGAAAGGTAACATTAGCAACGTTAATTAAACGTTGCAAAAAGTAAGGAGGATTAGGCGTGCTGGGTTGGGCTGGTTCTTGGGCTGATTATTTCCTGAAAACATTAGGCCCAATAACGAAAGTCTAATTTACTTACCCAATTGCATAAACCGGCAGCATGAACCCTTCTCCCAATTCTTCATTTCCAATTTTGTCTCCTTCTCTGTCTCAGACTCCGACTCAGACTCCTACTCTGATGAAGTGGAGCCTTTTCCCAATTCGTCAGTCCCAATTAGAAGCTGAAGCACTCGACTCCGACTCCTACTCCGTCAAAGTGAACACTTTTCCCAATTTCTCATTTCCAATTAGAAGCTAAAGCGCGCGATTGCGACTACGACTCTGACTCCGACTCCCATCTG